CTTAAACAGAGACGACTCAATTCTCTAAAGATATTATATTCTCATTGTATTTCAAAAAATAAATCAACTCCTTTCTATCCCTTAATGTAGTTACACTATCCCATACTTTAACGGGCTTCCATCTTTTTATTCGTAAATCAAATCGGGGAAGTGTTTGCTTCACTACGTCCCCGATAGCTCCAGGATCCGATGCAAACATACTGAAGTGTCGACGAACACAGCTGTGTTTGCGTTTCATTACACGCCGCCTGCGTGATACTGTACCCCATTGCTCGGTTTATTGTACACCGATATTACTTATGGACTTAGAAAGGTAATGTAAACATTAAATGACGTTCTTTTGTTTCATTCCTATTGTACTGTGTTATTATCAATCACTTATCAAATAATACAGCTCAAGTTCAAATATATTTTTAAATTTGTATCCGATGACACTTTGTATCGTGTTTTCAAAAAGGCCGACATGTTGTCATTTTAATTTTATTTTACACTAGCTGCCGCCCGCGACTCCGTCCACGCGGTATTAAAAAATAATATTAGTAAGCTATGTGTTCTTTCAGACTATGTTCTACATATATGCCAAATTTTAGCGAGATCCATATAGTCATTTTCGAGGTATCTTCAAACAAACATCCAAACATTCTCATTTATAATATTAGTAAGCTATAATTATTGTCTATAAGGAAATTTAGATTATTTGCGGTAACATTATACTGTTTGTTACAAGATAACATCTAATTTGCTGAATACATTAGCTCAAGTTCCGTTAGAAGCCAGTCATTCGTACTTGCCTTCGCTAATCCGTGTTGATGCATTCCAATTAAGTTCCTACGTGATGTGCGCCATATGTGTTCTGTTTCCATGGAACATAAACAGAATAGAAGATATAATAACTAAAACAAAAGCGTAAGCATTGTTGCCAGAAATGTTAATGATGGTATTCTAAGAAAGAAGGCCAGATTGTTGAAACACACAAGAATAATAAGTGCACCTGAAACCAACGGTCATGTATACGTTGATGTATAGATGTAGAAAAAACGAGAGAGATATATGGCGACCGCACCAAATAGAAGTCCGTGGTCTCTGCCTACTGCTCAAGATTACAGGCGTGGGTTACATTGTTATTGTCTTAGTAAATTCCCAATAAAATGTAGATTTTTATTAAACATAGTAACTGTTTATCTTCTTTCTAGTTGTACGTACAGCAAGTTGCTCCAACTTTATATCTTTCTTTATTCGTAGTAGAAACACGATGCGTGTACGAAATTGAACATAAACTTTTCTAAAATACGGCCATGAACAAAGAGCAACGTTTAATTTTCCACTACAATAACAGTGCGCAGTGCGCGCAGTGATAACATCAACGACTCCTATATTGAAAAAGTAATGAAAAACTCTCCGCTACGTTCAAAACTGCTCGCGTTATTGAAAAACTATTTCGTTTGGCTCGAGTGAATTTTGCGGTGCTTACACCTAAGGCATTATGTGGTTGAAACATTCCTAATGCTCCTTATAGAGTTCCAGTGCAATGAATAAACTTAAAAAAAATAGTCCAAGTTAGCAAAGCACTACTTACTATTATATAATACTAGCTGTCGCCCACGACTCCGTTTGCGCGGAAGTAAAAACAAACTTAATAAGTAGCCTACGTGTTCTTCCAGACTATATTCTACATCTGTGTCAAATTTCAACTATATACATGCAGTTAAGGAAATACCATAAAACAAACATCCATCCATCCATCTACACATTCACATTTATGATATTAGTAACATTTTATTCTGAATATTGCAAAAGATTCTCTAGCTTATAGTTCGTTTTTTAAAGCTCTACCCAAATATAACAATAGGAAATCAGCATAAGGTCTGAGTCAAAAGAAACTTACTAAATTTATTTAAAATTCAATTACTCGTCTTTTCATTTTAAAATTAACGAATGTAATACGTCAACATTAAGAATCACGGAGTGCTAGATAATAATGTTATTGATATTCACCACGAACTCAATATATTCCGAAACTCTTATACGTTGAAAGCCGGAAACTGGAGATGTATCGTTGAGAGCTCTTATAATCGAGTATACTCGATAGTTGGCTACTGAATATGTCCTTGCAAGTCGTATTATAGTCGTAGACCGACTTTAATATAATTTCTTACAAGCATGTTTCTTAAGAAATTGAGAGCTTCTAGGTACCGTTTCAATTCATTTCTTGATTCAAAAATATTCTGCGTTACAATTTTTTTATATCATAAAGCGGAGTAGCAAGTGATTCGCTAAAATAGCGAAGCAACTGCTGCCAATATACGTCTGTTATAGCAGTTGCGTTACCTACCTATAATCTACGGAGGTAGGGTCGCACAGAAAGGTAACATTACCCCTTCCTATGCGTCTTTTCACTCGACTATTCCGCAACTCCCATCTTTGTCTTTAAAAGAAAGGTTTCGAAATGCATAAAATTGACCACCACACTCATCAGATAAAACGTGGAATTGCTTCCATTTGAAGCATATCTTTTATGTCACCTGTCGTGGTATAACCAGTCAAGCAAGATATTGTTGTTGCTGGCCACTACCACTGTTACCACAAAAACAAATTCATATACTTTTAAAACACACTGTTACTTAAGTCCGCAAATAACTGACCCTATTAATACAAGCCTAAATCATTCTACACTACATTCTATGATGCAATATTGAAATTCATAGAAACGATGCCGGCTATAGCTAGTATAAAATATAACGACAAAACATATCAGTTTATTACGCTCTGTAGATGTCACCACGGTCGACAAGCCTGGAATAATCTAGTGACGTCAGTTAGATACAGAAATAACTTTTCCAAATGGCCACACTTGACATAGCCACAAATATTGCAGAACTGAAATGAGTCTGGTATATTTTAGTCAGGTCTCTTGCTAATAATAAAACGGACACGGTACTACGAATTGCCGAGGTCAGTACTTTAAGTCTATCGATAGATACTTTCGGATGCTTTTTTTATATCATAAGGTGGCAAACGGGCGGGCGCCACCTGAAATCGCTGAAATAGCGAAGTGACAGTTGCCCATAGACATACGCAATTACATATGCGTTGCCTACCTTTAATCGACGGAGGAAAGGATGCAGAGAAAGAAAATATCTTCCCTTTTCACGCGTCTTCTCACCCGGAAAGTCCACTTCCACTTCCCATCCTTTCCTTATAAGAAAAAGGGTGGGAAGGGAAAGAGGACTAAATTAGGCCTCCGGGACGCACACTCATCAGACGAAACGCGGAATTGCTTTCACTTCACGCCTGTCTTCTGTGTGGGTAAAGGTTATAGTAAATTAGTACGTTTCATATTTTAATCACATGAGTAATATGGCCACTCATCATCCCAAAGGATATACAAAGATCTAGAAGTGAATTAATACTTAATTCAAACTTAATTCTGATATGCGATTTTGTTACAGTTAAGCAACGTAAAACCTGTTGCTCCTATCTTGTGAATACCTCATTTCTAAATGTAATTATAACAGACTAATCCGCCGTTGCTTTACACGCCTACCACTTTATGACGAGCAACAGAATACCGTCACAAAATTTAAATTTTGCTAATCCAAATTCAATGTCACTGTGTCTTTGTCAAATTAGTTTTTTTTTATTTCGTAGACAAAACTTACTAACTTATACACACATTAATAATTCTTAATAAAGTAAACTAATGTAAATCTTATTTAAATCTAAGTTCTAAAACAACCAAAATAAAAAGGAACTAACTCGTAAGCAGTTACGTTTTATGCCACCATTATGGCGAACGTTAATTCTTTTTTTATTTTCCAGACCGCTACAGACGAACACAATTGACCAAAATATTCCTTTTATTACAACTACAAGCTCGGCTCTCGTTTAAGGAAAAACTTATTTAAAAAGTCAACAGTACACAACTACATTTGTTAAATGTAACAAGAGGCTTAAATAACAAACAAAACGGGGTTTATTCATATTTACATAGTAGGTACTAAGGTTTATAGATTTCGTTAGTAGTAATTTTTATTTGTTGACGACAAAACAAAATTGTTTACTTCGATAATTTTATATCTTTATATAACATGTAACTAGGATTCTTTCATTTCCGTAAATACTGGCAGGAGTTATGAGTTAAATTTTATTATTTATATGTATACTACGTAAAGTTAAGTCATAAACAAAATAACTTGACACAATGTAACATAAGTTAAATTTACCTAGAGCTAAACAACGGAAGGACTGCCTGATTTAAGCGAAATATAGTGTAACCGCAGAGAGATGACTTGTCAGGCTTTGTTATCGCGCCGCGTGACACCATACATTTAGGGCAATTAACCCAGAAACCACCTGATCCTCTTAATTTAATATTACCAACGGCCGCTTTATGACCGGACGGGGATAAACTCCAACTCAAGTAAATTAGATTGTTTTGTTTGGTGGAACGCAAAGTTGCTACAAAATGTTACCCAAACTTTGCATGTATGTTGCCGAGTTATAAAAATAAAAACACACGTAGCGTAAACATTGAAAATGAATTTAAAAATTAAAGCTGGTTACAGAAAAAAAAATGTTTATTCCAACGTAACGTAATTTTAATTAATACAAAACAAATCACATAAACTTTAGTGATGAAGCGTCAATAGCCTAATGGTTAAGGATACGGATTTCCGATCACGAGGTCGGGGTTTCGAATCCCGCCATTTGACTATTGTCGCAAACAATATCCTAGCACAAGCATATAGCTTAGTGGAATGGTAAAAGAAAAAATAGTAAATTTACAAAAAATTTGCTAATATTTTTGCTAAAAAAAGAAGCTGTAAAAGATCTTTAACTTTCGATTAAGAAAACGGCATCAGAAATCGATCTCTGACATTTCTAATAACAGCAAAGTAATCACCAGTATTCCATTTTAACTGATCTTTAACATTTCAAAACTTGTATTTAATTCGAAACCCGTTACCACTAAAATAACCTATTCGATTCTATTTTCACAGGTCTATTCGAGACAGAGGGCGTTCGCGTGCCGGGCACGGAGTGCGACTACCAGTTTAGCAGGTCAGGCAGCCGACCGTCTCACGGCAGGCTTTACAGTCCGCGATACCCCTCCAATTACCCCAACAACGTGCGATGTTCATACCATTTCCACGGCAGGTCAGTTACAATCATAATTCATATTTCAAATGTACGTTACTTATCATTGATATCTGAAACCTACGCTCCAGCGAAATATTTAGCAGCTAGGCTTACAGCATGTAACCAAATATAATTGAATCGCAGACAAAACTCAGCATTTAATTTCCGTCTAATTTTCGTGTCTTTCAAGACACGATTCGCTTCGGTACTAGTTCGCTTTTGAATCTGTTTGATACGAACCTTTACCTACTTGGTCTACATGCCCTTAGACGTATGATTTGTGCTTTGAATGTATTACATCAAATCTAATAATTTTTCCAGACCAAAGGACCGCGTCAAGGTAGTCTTCGAAGAAGTTTCACTACAAAAAGGCGATATAAGGTTTGTGTTTTTATTTTATATTATTGTTTATTTTACGTATTTATTTTCTGATTATTAAAAAAACTAGATCATGTATTTTATTCAAAATAAAACGACGAATCATATTTGTTCTCATACATAACGAGGTATGCTTCATTACGTTTTATAATGAGGGTCTTGGATCGAGATATTTTTTTTCTTTTAATTTTAACAAAGCATGTTCATTTAGAATCCGCTTATTTTATTTTAGTACATATAGGGAATCGGTGGATTTGAATAGCAATATTTTTGTTTAGACAATTTTCTACCGAACTCATTAAAAATAACCAAAATTGTAGACACGAAGGCAGTGGCAGTCATTGTTGAAGAAGCGAGAAATTTCTTTCTTATTTGTAAATCAGCCACCAGTTAGGGTTAACTTATATAATTGTTCTTGCATTAAAATATTAAACAGCATTTTCGGTTACAACACAAAACGGATTCGTAGTAAGATCGCGATTAAATTAGCATTCCCACGTCGACAATGCAGCCGGCACAAAATGAATTATAAATGCTACGAGCGCGCACCGCTTCCGTTAATGAGAGCAAGCTATAAACCATATCTACTTGTTTAATTAACCGAATAATGCATGGGCGCGCCGCTTTGCGGCCAGCTTGCGTTCCAGCTTGCTGGTGTTAACGAGGAATGTCGGTTTTGATTTACCTTAAAGTATTTTAATTTGGAGAAGATTAACTGGGGACTGAGAAGTGTGGAATAGTCTAGGGAAGGCCTATGTTAAAATAAAATTATATGGTTAGTAGCTATTGCCAGCGACTCTGACCGTGCGGAAAGGAAATTAATAATAGAAATAAAAATTACCCTATCTTCTAAGTTAGACCATCTTACAGATGCTTATAAAATTTTATAAGAATTGATTCAGTACTTTCAGAGTTTATCGCGAACATATATCGTGAAAAAATAGGCTACAGACAAGAATTTACAAAATTAAAAACAAAGCTGTTACTGTTGTCAAAGAGAATAAGGAAGATTTTAAATGGGAATGTTGAAACATCGGTATGGATAGATCTAAGAGAAGGATAAATTGCGTGAGAGGTGATTTTAAGATGTTACATTACTAAGGTAATATAAGATAATATTAAACTTACTAACAACACGAATATAATTTGAAGCAACGCCAACTTGGTATTCCTTAAGTTTAATTACTTTACGAGATGAAAACATAACAAAAGTTCCCGAAGAGCTGTAGACAATACGTTTTCATAGCAATTTAAATTAACTATACATATATAGCATTCAAATTTAATGTCCACATAGATTTATTTCTTTTAATAGAACAACATAACCACGCCCGTAACCCTGAGGGATAGGCAAAGACTTCCTTTGGCGTGGTCCTACTGCTCTTTAATTATGAAAATATAATAATATTACTAACTAATATCCAAACTTATTATACCTTACAAAAATTAAACAATAAAATCAAATAAATTATTCAAACTTTGGTTAGACATTATAATAAACTTATATAAAAACGGCTATGGCTCACCCAGATGAAGGGCCCCCGATGAGCTAGAAACTAGTCGCTGCCGACACTGGACGAATATACGTGAGTGATTAGCCGTTTTTATGTAAGTATAATAAAATATAAAAATATTTGCAACCTTTACAAAGATGTAACATTCCATATTTAATCCACAAAATCGAAACGAAATAGAAGTAGTATTTTCATCAGGATTTATCGTCCAAACAACAAAGTATTCAAGCTAAGTAGTAACACGTTAGTCTGTGGAGAATTTAGAACTTGGTGTACGTAACAGGAATGCTGGTACGAGAATTTATGTACCAAGTCCAGTTGATATTCAAGTATATTAAACCCTTGTTAAACTATTCTACGTTGCAAATGTTATTGTTATGTAGACGGAATTAATTAAGACAAACATCCCTGACCCTTGTGTAATGACACATTGTTTGTGGTCTTCCGGGCATGCAGGCCAATTTATAATTATAATCGTAACGTGAAAGGCTGTAAAATGGCCTAGTTGGGTTTATTGTTGGTTTCTGAGACTGAAATTACTATATAAAATTCATCGTCATCTTATCTTTGATAAAATACAGAGGTTTACTATGAGAATTTTGGTCTCAGAAACTAATTTATAAACCAATTGTCTCGAGTTTGTTTTCAAGTAAATGGTATAGCACTAATCATTTCCAGTGCTGAATAACCGGTGTGACAGCATATTGTCATCTCTTTTATTATCTTTAAAAAATAGAGATAACAATATGTTCTAGGCAGATGTTTCAGCAATGTAAACGTACGATAAGAATATTAAATAGAAGTTTTATTGTTGATTACAAATCTAATAATAAAGCTTTCAAATTTGAATTTTTCACTAAACCTTTAAATAATTCAAATTTTTTTATACATAACAATATTTTAAAACGCGATATTAAAATTAAAAGCGATATAGTTATGTAAATATGTCGACCGCGAACAGATTTTATGAAAAAAAACCTATCGCTTGCCTACAAACTGAATCTACATTCGCACAATGGCGCGTTGAAATGCAAGTTACTGTTAAAAATATTATACTATTTCACACCGAATGAAAAACTGCAAACAAACGCTCGCGAATTACTGAAAATTCATCAAATTTATTTACAAGTTTAGATATCATAGTCATCAGCTCACTATACGTCCCCACCGAGGGGCTCGGAGCCTACCCTAAGTTAAGGGTGATTAGGCCATAGTCCACCATGTTGGCCAAGTGCGGGTTAGTTGACTTCACACATATCTTTGAATTGCAGGTTGCATCACCATGTTTTCCTTCACCGTAAGAACGTCGGATAAATGTATTAATGTAAATTGGAAATCGAAAAACACATTGGTACATGGCGGGGTTCGAACCCAGGACCTGCAAATTGCAACTCAAGTGCTTGACCACTGAGCCACCGACGCTCCTTTTAGATATATTTTACATAAAATGTATTAAAATTACTTCTTCAAGTTCAAAAAATACAATTAATAAAACATTAAAAGATAAGGTTAACACCATAACATAAATGAAATTATTGCTTGAAATCCAATAGCCAATAGCCTAATGGTTAAGGGGAAGGATTTCCGATCACGAGGTCGGGGGTTCGAATCCCACCATTCGACTATTGTCGTAAACCATATCCTAGCACAAGCAATAGAGCTTAGTTGGAATGGTAAAAGAAATATTCGTAAATTTACAAAAAATCTACTAATATTTTAATAAAAAAAAAATAAAGAAAAATCAAATTGTTCATAAAATATCTGATATTGAATTTGAAAAAAAAAATTGGTATATCATATGTAAGACCTTGGACAATTCGCATTTAAAACTATGCGTTTCGTTGCGAATTTGAATTTGAATTTGTTATTCATTTGGAATCGCAACAACAAATCCGTTAATAATTAGCGTTTGACCTCGCAACGGATTTTGCATTAAATGTCGTTAAATTACACCTAAACGCTCTGATTGATATATGAGCCTCGTAAGCGATTATTGTGCGACCACAACCGCGAACCATGGGACCGTTCGGATCGCGGTTCACCTCGCGTACACAATTCAATTTACTGTATATTTGCTTATAATTACAATATGAGACATCTATATATTCGGAGCAAATGGCCAGCCTGCTGTATTGACACATTCGTAATTGAGGAAATTTGCTTGTAGAAAAGAAAAATATTTTTTTAAGTTTAAACATCTTACTAATATTATAACTTTTTTGACTTCCCGGAGGGAGCAGCGAGCGACAGCTAATTAGTTATAAATTTCCACTCATCAAAAGCAATCTTTACTTGTATCGGGATTTATAGTGACAGTGATTATGCTAATATCATCTAAGAAAAATAACCTAACTAAGATTCACCCATTCGATTCCACGAGCAAAAAGTATCTTATTATAACCCTCCAAGTATAATTACTTTATTCTTTTCATATCAAATGACTCCTTTACCATTGTCTAACTGCGTTAATTTTGCTCTGTGGTTCCAGTTGCCTGCGACGTGCAGACATCATCAAGGTCTTTGATGGGAGAGACGCGAACGCTCCGGCTATAGCTATGCTGTGTAACGAGTTATCAGGTATGGGTATTCATGTTTTTTTGCGACAGACATAGTCCACAAGATATTATTGAACCATTGAAAAAAGATTAATAAAATCACTGCGTTCAAATTGATATATCGCACTTCTGATGCCAGACTCCATTCTTGTATACGATTTAACATCATTGTAAGTATGAAAAATATTATCATCTTTCTGACGTTTTACTATGTCCACTTACGTAGGGTTTGCGCATCAGGTTTCCATCCTCACCCCGTTATTAATCATGCTAAAAAAACATAAAGTTTGCATGAATAATGACAATAAACAATAGCTAAAAAAACTTTAAATGGATACAAAATAAACTTTCCATATTTTATTGAAATTATATAGTACAACATGCGAAAGCTAATGACATTAAAAACACAAATAAAAAACAAGTTACTATCACAATACCTCCTATACCTATAATATAAGTCAGATTAATAAAAAAGTAAAGTTACAAAAATATATGAGGCGCGTAAAGAAATAGGTTTGTGAGTGCTCCTGTATACGAGAGACAAATCATAAGGAAAATAGATACAAGAAGGGAAACGTGGGCGTTATAATATCTCATTGTGACATATATTAAGTACTCCACCGCCTGTTGTTACTGAGATTCCCAAGAGAAAAATACTAGGAGAATCGTTCAAAAAAGATGACTAAAAAGTAATGAGATTCTTGTATCAAATTCATAGGATAAATATGCAACGTCAATTTATCATTTTCATGGTCAAAATGAACTGTCAATTAAAAGATAAATGTATGTATGTATGTTAATAACACTACTAAATGTCTACGAAATTACTATACTAAAACGCATTTGCAATTGTGGATGGCTATCGGCAGCGGTCGCTTCGCTGTTTCAGTGATTTCTGGTGGCCGTTAGCTCGTATGCCATCTTACATTATTAAAACATAACAGTGGTAGAGCCCGCTTAAACATCTTTGCACGAAATGGTCCGGCTCGCCCGGTGAAATACCACGACCACACAGAAGACATGCGTGAAGTAGAAGCAATTCCGCGTCCCGGAGGTCTAATTTAGTCCTCTTTCCCTTCCCACCCTTTTCCTTATAAGGAAAGGATGGGAAGTGGAAGTGGGTTTTCCGAATGATTGGATGCATGGGAAGGGAAAATATTTTATTTCTGTGCATACTCTCCTCCGTCGATTAAAGGTAGGCAACGCATATGAAATTGCGTATGTCTATGGGCAACGGTCACTTCGCTATTTCAGCGATTTCAGGTGGCCGCTCGCTCGTTTGCGACCTTATGATATAAAATAAAACTATATTTTCTTGGAACTTACACATTTACTTAAATATCCTTACAAATATTTGTATTATTACGAGACGATATAGGCAAAAAAAGTCGATAAAGTTTTATCCCGAGCTTATTCCCCTAATAATACAAATATCAAGTTGAAATTTCACACCTTAATATCAACGTTAAATTGGACTAATTCATTTACCTTGACAGATATTTATCGCGTACGATTTATAGCTGTACAGAAAGAGAACGATCCAATCTCAAAAGTTGGAAGAAATATTCTCCCCGAGGCACCACTCGCAAAGATTCTTAGTGCAAAACTAACTTTCGTGATGAATTGCCGGTGCTCTGAGTTCTGCAGCCGCGACGACATTTCGCTAGAGTATACCTGCACGCTTTGTTTTGCTGATGCAATTCTTAGTACGAGCTTCAACTAATGGAATATTTTAGTTGAACTTATAATAAAACGGTCACAGTTTAAAATTAGAAAATCAAATCATATGCAGACCTATACTGTCGCATTTCCCCGCTTTGGTGAAGGACTCATCTTGTTATTTACATTTTAATCATCACAAATTTTAAGAGTTTTGGGGATAATTCTCATATCTTAAAGTCATAAGCCGCCAGGAATATTTCAACTTAAATTACAGGGACGGATTATTGGCATTTAAACTCAATTCTTTACAAATAAAAAAAAAGTAATAAGATTTTAAATTATCTATATAATCAGATATTGTAATTCTGAATGTGGAATAAGTGCTAGATTTGTTGATCCTTAATTTTACGATTGTATGTTATTTTTAGTACAGGCCCAATCTTACAAGGATCATCCGAGTTTCATGGATTAACGTCTCCAAAACACGAGATGCTCGAGATTAAATGCTACTTAAGAGACCACCCCATATTCCGGCCGCGGCGTAACTTTGGCAATGATTAAAACGTTGCTCTGATACTATGTTTCGTTTTATTTAGATGTTTACTTACTTTGACAATTGCAAGGAACTGTTATATCACTTTTTTATAACGACTAATGCTGATACTGAATAACCACGTCCAAATTGAAACGAATTTTGTGATAATTTATGGTATCACCTAGATAAGCGCTGACATATAAATAAAATGTAGAATCTTACGCCTGACCCCGTTATATATTGAATTGGAGACACATGTAAATTTAAATACGAAGTATTAAAAATCACAGTCACTTTAAAATGCTACTCAATAGTATTGTTAACAGCATAAGAGTCCATATACTCCTTTACTTTATTCACAAAACATAAAAGATCCCAGACTGTAAAAAGAAGAGGCCATTCCAATTTATTACTTAGGGACTGAAAACCCTTTATTGTTGACACAATTCGGGCTTTTTACGAAGCACAACTTGCGGGTCTTATTTGCACATTCAACTCTTACAATGCGTAAGCCACAAAACTAGGGACAATGTTTGAATACAGAAAACCTGGGAATTAGGTATTGAAGGTGGCTTCTTGCAATCACAGCTCAGCGTAACTGGGACAATAACCAATAGGGTTGCCACTTATTATAATAATAACACATCCGGAAATCTAATAGAAATCCGGCTTATAACGGATAGCACCCATTCTTGTAAAGGTATAGTTAGACTTGTGAACCAACTTAATGAAGCAAATATCTTGCTAGTATTGTTGGATGCACTAAGTCGACATAAACAAGAAGCCATTATTTACTATAATACATCTGCATCGAAAGTGGATGTGGTATTTAAAGTTTGCGTCTGTATAAGAAAGTATAACGAAAGATTTGATGTAATTTTTCTTAAAGATAATAATGATTGACAACCCTGTAACCTTAAGTTGGCGTTACTCTGTTGAAGCATTATTCATTCAAAATGGGGACAGTAAGCGCCAGGTAGTTGGACGATGACAATCGATCGCAAACTTATCAACACGTGCGAATCTTATACAACATTGTGATATTTATTAAATATCAAAAATATGTTCTTGAACTTTTTAATTCTGTCGATCCATGAACAAAAATATTCTAACAATCCGTTTTTGGACAACTTTTAAATTCCTTTTCTGAAATTTATCTGCTACTGTTTGGTCTCTCATCATCAACAGCTCACTATACTTCCCCACCGAGAGGCTCGGAGCCTACCCTAAGTTAAGGGTGATCAGGCCATAATCAACCACGCTGGCCAAGTGCGGGTTGTTTTGGTCTCTACTTTGGTTATACACTTGAAATTTAGCCACAAATATTATAATATTATATAATTTTCAAAAATGCTACTTATCGTTCGTTGTCGTCGAAGTGGTCGGCTCATCCGATGTGATACCACGAACACAGAAGATAGGCGTGATGCGGTCATTCCGCATATCTTTCGATGCCGGTGTCAAAGGCTTAATTTCATTCTTCTTACCCTTCCCACTCTTCTCTTATAAGGAGGGATGGGGAGGATTAGTGGATTTGAAGGTGCAGGAGACGAATACGAAGTGAAAATATTATCTTTGTGTGCGTTGCCTTCTACGTCTACATTAATAATCACATTTTATGCTTACCTTAAAGTAAAACTAGGTTCTTTATAGCTTCAGTCGCTTTTTACTTGCAATAAATTCTATCAAATCAGATTGAAATCAATTTAAATATCTTTATTAAAGTAAAGGGTTGTATGTAATAAATCTCGATTATCAAAATTTTATATCTAGTATCGTCACTGGATGTATTACTGGATTGTAAAGATAACGGCTTCAGATATATGAATTTATTTGTCCCGACCTTTTTGTTCATGACGGATGTTGTTCTGTAAATACTTTTATTTTCCGCTTGTATGTATGTATTAAGAAACAGTTTGCGTTATTGGAATGCTATAAGTTTATTCTATAGTTCAGTTTACGGTCCGCCATTCGCAGAAATGGCTTTGTCAGCGTTCTGCGTTAGGAGCTTATGGAGCTAAGTCAGGTTAACGGATAACGACTCCAACGATTAAGGTCTTTGTGGTTCAGAAGGCCGACATTACGTGAAATTACCATTGAGAGTTACTATGACTGCATGACATGATCTTAGATTACTATAAAGAGTCGTAAAAATCACTTGTTAAAAAAGAAATCTGAAACCAATAATCGAATCTCTAAATGTAACACAACAATTCTTAATTTCTCGTGTTCGTTTAGTACTTATACCTATCGACATTTGTAAAATGGACGAAGGAATAGCAAAGTACAGTAGGCACAAAAATAATCGATAAATTTATGTGATTGACATAAAGTAACAGAAAATTCATATCTTTTCTATCTATTCCAGGTTACGAAGTCCTCTCTACGGGCCCATATTTGCTTCTACAGTTCACCGCCAATTCCGCGACGCCGGGACAAGGCTTTGCAGCCACTTTCCACTTTCAGCCGCCACCGGATTCTACAGCAGCAGGTCTGATTATGACACATGTAAAACAACATTATTCATTTCCATCCTGACTTAGCAATTAGATTGGTAAAAGCAACATTTAAGGAATAGAATAAAATAAATAGTAAAAAGTAGTGAATTGTTTTTGCATCCCAATCGGAGGTTTTAAGGTTTTAATAAAATGGTTTAATTTGGTAAATGATATAGACAAAAATACACTACCGATAATGATTAGATGCAATAACATGATAATAAGTAAGGAAGTCATTTTTATGAAAGTTTGATCAGACCATTTCGGATATTAGTGCGAGGCCTTGAGGATTATCATAGATCGCACATAAGAATTGATTTAACGTAGATATTGTGTACATACTTAAACACACAGATAAATATTGCATTTTTTTGTCTATGTAATTTAAATGACAGTTTCTTTCACATTTTTTGTAATAGTTTTTTTTTAATGAAATCTGTATTTTTGTACCATTAAAACTAAATTAGCTACTTCATACAACGAGGTTCCAAACTATGAATACAGATATTGGCTGAGTTCCAGACGGCTTTTGGATGCTTATTTTGCCACAGTTACCTTATTATCCAACGTAGTTGTAGATTTATGAAGATTACTACATAAACTTTAAGTGCAACCTACTCAGAAAATTTTAATTTATTTCTGTCAAAAGCCGTATAGTCTGTTACTATTATTTTTTTTTCGGTAAAAGAAAGTTAATATGCAGAAAAAGCAAAAAATCACAAAATTATATTCAAAGTTATTTAGCGCCATCTAGTTCCTCATGTACAGATTTCCTAGCGTGTTTCACTTTGCAGCACACGTGTTTTAACATCTTGTCAAAAGATGGCAGGGAAATAAAATTATACAGCGCCATCTATTGAATTAGTACAAGGAACATTGTTTAAATTGGTTGTGTAAGTTGGTTTTCACATCCTCACGAGATGGCTTATTTCAGATTCCGATCGTCTACTAAAACTGAGCTTTGGAAAAGCTTTCGAGTCACTGGGACCAGAAGTAAGCGCGACAAGTAAGTAATAGACAATATTTTCTTCTGCTTATTATACAGCCTAAGAGTCTACTTCTTCAGCTTGTTAGGAGTTGATGGCCTCCGGCACTTCAGCAATCGCAGGATCGTAAAGTACCAAAGCTACTTATATCTCTTGTGTGGAATTTTCAGACGTCGAGTTATTTGTTCAGTTTAGGTCAAATGAAATTTAAACCTATTAAGTAACTCTTAATTTTTAAAATCGTTGGACTCGGTGCAAGAAGATATGAACCATGTAAGGTTCAGGATAGTACTGATACCCTTATTTACTATAGTAAAAAGTAATAACCAATATGAAAATGTTTTCAGTTACAAGTTATAAATTACATCTGATTAAACTCGTCCCATAATGGCAGTAGATATTTCATTTACATTGAGATAAATGCAGAACATGTCATAATTATTACTCGCAGTTACAAATAATGTCATTTATTAAATTTTATTTTAACATCAAAAATTTTAGTGCAGTTGGAATATTTATTACACGCTCTCATTTAGTAACGAGAAAACTTTTATCAATCTCATTACATGAATCTTGTTAATGTTATTTAGTTTAAGCTTGTTCACTTTATATTCTGTAAGTTTATTTTACAATAAATATAGTAAATAATACATTTTACTGTAAACTTCTGACATCCTTTCAGCAAATATAACCCTTAGAAAATTATATTCACCTTGTCTATTAGCTTTACTAATATTATAAATGCGACTGTTTGGATGGATGAATGTTTGTTTGAAGATATCTCCGGAACGGCACAACGGACCTCGATAAAATTGGGCAGACATGTAGAACATAGTCTGAAAAAAACAAATTGGCTTGACGAAGTCGCAGACGACAGCTTAGTATTTTATAAACAATCAGCACAACTTTTACACTTGATGAAATTCTTAATAATTTATGAGTCACAATAAAATGCTTCGTAAAATGCATCTCAGTTTAAGCACAGAGAATAAAACATTAAGTGGACTTTTAAATAAATGATCAAACAAGTTGCAACAGGCATAGCATTATAAATTCCGCTACAAAACGGGCAGGGATTATTAGGTGTTGTGAACTTACTAGCTCAAAGTACATAAAAGGTGTTACGTGAATCACAGTTTGGCACACGCTTCGACACTATTCTGTTTTATCCAAAGCTGGCTCGTTCCTTTTTGATATCTTTCATGAATTGAAGGAATAAAATAACATAGAAATAGTACCTCTTATCTTATCTAAAAACTTTCTGCTACTTCTTTTTATCGGCAACGAAGTATTTTTACTCTTCCGGTAAATTCATCGTACTCCAGTTCTCTTCGGAGGAAATTGAAAAAGCAATTTGGATTTGTTAATAAACGGGAATAGTGTGCCAATAGACTTTGGTGAAACGGAAAAAACAAACCACAACTTAAACAATTTTCATAACAAGGCCACAATAGTTAATAATATTTTAATTATGAAGCAAGTAGCAGAACCACTGTTCTCTAGGATTTTTATATCTCTTGCTTACAATACATTGATTTTTTAATTAGTTATTAAGAACAAAACAGCAATAGGGCAATCGCTATTGTTCCCCAGCCTTGGCGAAGCCCATGAGATGTGCAATTTGACTGTGAAACGTAATACAATTAATTTGATATTAACTTTATTGTTTCGTAGAAAGATCTTTGATATGATGTTAATATACATTAAAGGTTCTAAGAAATATACGTAGTTTCCTAATTAAAATGAAACTGCTAGCATAACAAGTTGTTGGAAACTTGATGTTTACACAACAAAATGAAACCCACTTTCCGCACTTCGCAAGTTAAATCATAAGTTCGCATGTTTGCTAAACAGGAAATGGAAAACTGTGCTTCTATGTTACGTATTCCAAAACTTTAATGTTAGATATGCGCCTTTTATGTATGATAAATGAAATAAAGGTTAAAATGAACAAAATATGAAGGTAAAAAATAATTTTAAAAGAACTAATATTTTCTTTACTATTAACAAACACTAGATGGCGCTGTTCTTAATTATTAGAAAAACTAATTATTCCCATTTTAATTACTTTTATTTTTTCTAATGATCCCTGATGAAGACACAGAAAAAAATCAGGAATTGTTACCGTTCCATAATATGACTTCTATTTGCAAGTATATCAGAAGTTTTCATTTGAAGTTTGCTTTGCTTTATCGAAATTGCCGCACTTAAGTTTGCAACATGGACGTATTTGGCGTTGCAAAGCCTTGTGTTATTTTAGCAGTGGCAATTAACTTTGACGATTAGCTCTCATGTTTTGCAATGTAATATAACACACGTTTGGAAACATTCCAAAACTTAATTTGTGTACTCGGTATTTGCAATTTGTTAAAATTTCTGCACGATTCGTACTTGACGACGAAACTTGTCTAAGCTTTATTTAATATGGTTTCATCATTCGTTTATATTCTCAGCACATTTCCATTGACAGAGTAACACATATGTAACTGTTAAGATTTATCTATATGAAATTTTCATTGCTACATTATATTTTACATTAACGAGCAAGCGGAATTCGCTGAAACAGCGAAGCGAACACTAGACATGGCCATCCGCAATTATAGATGCGTTGCCACATCCATCAAATGCCCTTGCGCTTCCCACCTCTGGTAAGAAAATGGCGGGAAGGAAAAGATGACTAAAATTATGACTCAGGAACGGACACTCATCAGACGAAATGTACTAAGTATGCTATTGCATTATAATTTTATTTAAACTTAGCTATTTTCTGCTCAATACCACTACTAAAAAACCCTTCGTTCCATAACGAGCATAATTTATGGACAAATGTTAAACAGTGAAACTTATACGTATGCAAGTATTTTAAATGAAAAAAATTAATAAGCCTTCTAAAGAAACTGCATAATATGCGGAATTGAAAAATGTTTGCATACCTCACGTGAAGTGGAACATTTTAAAGTGGTGAGAAATTTCCCTCGAGTACAGTATTGTAAATCCGTATAAAACCTTTTTACCTGCCATTTTCAACGTTCATGAGTATTTTGTGTTCAGTGAATTGAACGTAAAGTATGTAGCCGTATTATGATCATGGATTTTGCGTTCAGTTTTACAAATTAAATGGAAATTCAATAAAGCGTGGCCTCTGCCTCTTAACCGCTGAAAATTGACTAACGAATCATTGAAGTATTAATCTTTGAAATATATGCAAGAATTCTTGATTTATACTCAGTTAATTATTATTTATTGCTAGCGATATTTGTGCAATTAAGTACAATTTAGTTTGGTCAATTATTCGTTTATAATATTTTATTAATTATCATAGATTTAAGACCCGGTTTTTTATTAGAATCATTAAATAAACTTTATGACATTTCCGTCTAACATCAAATAAATCCTAGTCATTTAGTTTCAATTCAATCTGTTTTAACAGTGGTAGAGCCCGCTTTAACATCTTCGCACGAATTTGTTCGGCTCGCCCGATGAAATACCACGACCACACAAGACAGGCGTGAAGTGAAAGCAATTCCGCGTTTCGTCTGATGAGTGTACGACCCGGAGGCCTAATTTTTGCCTCTTTCCCTTCGCACCCTTTTTCTAATAAGGAAAGCAAGGGAAGTGGAAGTGGTCTTTCCGGATGAGAGGATGCATGGAAAGGGAAAATATTTTCTTTCTGTGCATCCTCTTCTCCGTCGATTAAAGGTAAGCAACGCATATGAAATTGCGTATGTCTATGTATATATATCACAAATATATACACGTTGTATAATACGTATATACTTGTTAACAGTTATTGTGTAATCAAGCCTTCAGTATATTTTATAGAATGAAGGTAGTTATAGTTAAAGCACTCATCAAACGACTTCTACAAGTTTGTCGTATGTAGTTGATAGTACCGTGAGGTTAACAGGATGAGGTATATTGCGACTGACGCGAGCTGTAATAAGTCACAGAAGTATTCAATTTAAACGAACAATTGTGATAATGTGCGTAATACAGGATATAAATCTGTAATTTTGATTAAGATGAGTATTTAAGAAATTAACAATAGTGGTAAGACCTAAATGTAGTAAAGTCAATCATTATTTTGAAGCAGATAAATAGTACTATCGCAGGGAATTCATAGAGTAATTGAATATTTTGTATAGAATAACATAGTTAAAGACGACCGAAAGTAAGGAGTAGGAAAAGGAGCGGTTGGATTTAGATAAATTTTGGAAAATAGAATAATAATTAAAAAGAAAACGAAAATATTATAAAGCGGAGTTAGGAAAAGAAATATTAGCACGCACTGTTTGTTTAATGATATATTACAACTACCAATTTTGGAATAGAAAAAAGGAAGAAATAATACATAATGTTCTAAATATAGAAATATAAAAATTATAAGTAAAAAGAAATATAAAAAGGTTCCGTATATGTCGGCAAAAATAGTTATTATTTCAATCATAGCTTAAAGAAATTAACAGCGTTTATTTTCACTTAATAAATAGACCATTGTTTTAAAAATGAAGGTATGCTTAAGAAAACTAAGAGTAAGCATACAATGCGCTATAAGCTTTCCCCAGCAATTGCCCTGACCACAATAGAGCAGGCTTGGCTTGCTAATTAATGTCCTCGGTTGCTTTTTTAAAGGCACTGAGAACAAAGATTATAAAATACAAATGTATTCGTATAAGTTTAAAACAAGTGATCTCTAATATTTTAGTTACCTTTGGCAACTAACTTTGAAATTATTTTTTATTACTACAATTTCATCAACATTTGTAGCAAGAAACGTACGAAACCTTTTGATGTTAATTTTGACATTTACAATAATAATTCGGAAAGCAATATCATTTTATGATTTTAGTATTTTTAAAGTTATGTATAATTAGCTGTCGCCCGCCACTCCGTGCTCTCAGAATGAAAAAACTTAGTAGGCTATGCGTTCTTCCAGGCTATGTTCATTTATGAGAAATTTCAACGAAATCCATGCAGCCATTTTGGATATACCTTGTTACATCCATCCATCCATTCAAAC